AGTATGCCTTTTAGAATCATAACTAAAAACAGAGGGTTGTTGATTCATTAAAAGAAGCTTCCTGCTATCACATTAAAGATAGTAACCAACATTTGGGAAAACACCAGTTTTCTCCAATGAAAGGAAAAAAAAAAAAAGGAAATGAGTTTCAGATATATATACATATTTATATGTACATATTTACAGCTATATATAATCTGAAACAATTATTTTGGCTATGGGAAATCAAACATTTTACAAGTATCCCCAGTTGTAGTCATATTTTGGCTAAAAGACAGAACAGTCTTCTACTGCAGTACTATGCAATAGCTAATAATGAGAAAAACAATTACCTAGTGACAACAAGCAAAGTCCCAATATAATTTCTTTGCTGGTCATTACTCCACTAATCAGCCTGTGTAAGACACTATTGTCACTGACAAAGGTGATCAGGGCCTCTGCAAACTTGGCATAGCAGGAAATGTTCACAGGAGCACAGCGATGGAAGAATGGAATAGGTGCACTGGTGACACAAGAAAAAAAAATCAGAAAAAAAATTACTCCTACTTAATATAAATGCCACATCAAACACACAAATGAAAGGTGAATATGGCTGCAATACACTCCACCCTCCACACATCATTATGGGAGCTAAGAGCTGTGTGCTTAAAGCTATGAGGATGACTGTCATGGGTGGTGATGCCAATCTTACCACGAGCCTTGTCAAAGAGGGTGGAGTGCATGTTCCAACAGAAAACATTACCCTCCCCTTCTGAAAAGAAACGCCCGCACACACATACACACACACACAGAAAACTACCAAAAGCAAAACCAAACACTTAAACTCCTCAGCCTGCACATCAATCAAGGGGCAGATGATAAAGCTTACAGACATATACTTCATTGAACTGAAAATGAATTTTGCCATAAGCGATTTAAAAATAAAAAACACACATGCTTTTACTTGAAATGTGCCACCTTTAATAGAATGTTTCCTCTAATAGAACAGCATACGAAATCTCAGATTAATACAGTTGTTCAGGGCATGAGCTTAATGCCTCTCCTATAAACAAAGTCATGCTAAGACATCAACATACAGCATAATGTGAAGCTATTTAAACAATAACCATGAGTGCTAACATATGAAAATGGTTATAACAATTACAGGAGGGACGGATATCTTTTGCATAAGATCTTTTGCATAATCTTTTGCAGAGATAAAATCTCTGCATAAAAGATTACATGTAGTTATGAGAACAGAAAAAGAATATTTAAAAAGCAAAAAATAGCTGATTTGTTAGGGTCACAGAATTCTGGGCTATCTTCTTTTCTTTTTATATGTTACTATTAATCCAAGATTACCTAAAATAATCAATAACTTAGCCACTTATATCGGGCTT